GTTGTGCTCGTGTCATGCTCCTTCTTCGTCGTGAATACAGGTAACTTTATTATTGTTTTTGTAAATTTGTATATTACTCGCCTTATTTAGTTATTATTTAATTCAGCTTTATATACCGTGTATTATGCTGGTCGTCGTCTCCTGGGTTTCATTTTGGCTCGATAAGGTAAGCGGTTTTTTCCCGTATGTTTCACTGTCACTTCATATTTATTTTTTATTATCCTATTTCAAATACGATTAAAAAATTCAATAGTCTCCATCTTATATGCTGCAAGGAATTGCTTTATAAATTTGCAGTAGATTTTTAAGTAATTTTAGCCATTCGGTTAAATCATAAAACTTTGACAGGATGCTGTACCTGCTCGTGTATCATTAGGCGTAACAACATTGCTCACAATGACTACACAAGCATCTGGCATTAATGCTAAACTTCCGCCAGTATCGTACATCAAAGCAGTTGATGTATGGATCGGTGCATGCTTGATATTTATCTTTGGAGCTCTATTAGAATATGCATTGGTCAACTATTATGGGAGACAAGAATTTCTAAAGAAAGAGAGGAAAAAGAAAACTGAATTCAAGGGTTGTTTATATTCATCAAATCATCTTAATCAGGTAAGTGTTTTTCTAACTAGCTATTAATTAAGCAGATAAGAAAATAAGAAGGTGAAATATAAATTTCTGAAACTTGTTTTAGGACCTAAGGCAATCGTTACGATTGGATATGAATACGTACAGAAGGAAATGGTGGAGAAAATTTCGGTTGAATACATATCTGTGCGGTAACACTGAAGTTAGCAAACGTGTTGACCTCATTTCACGACTCGCTTTTCCAACCTTTTTTGCTTGCTTTCTTGGTGAGGCATATTTTTATGTTCATAATTTATTTGAAAATGTTTATTTGGTCTAATTGTTGAGTAGTTTGATTAATCAAAGGTCTTTAATCAATTGAACCTATATGATATAATGATCAAAAAATTTCTTGAACCAAATAATTATTTGATGCTATATCAGTTTCAGTGCTTTATTATGTGAATTATGTGAATTGATATGAGGAAATCGTCTTCTGTCCAGGTATATCGAAAGTGGAAGATGAAACAGTCATCCGAACAGGTGTAGAATGAAGCCTAAATAAGCACAAATATATGAATATGCACAATATAAATTTATACAACTTTCTGTGACAGTTTGAAAAACTGTTTTTTGTAGTGGATGGATGAATAAAGCGGGTCTTTATGATGTCATTACAGTTAATAAAATGGTGGTGGTAGCGATGATAGCAGGATAGTAGTAATAAAAGGGGGATGGATAAGCTCTTATTTTAATTAATGCCCCGAGTAGTGAAACATCCATAGCATGGCTCGGAATCTGGTGAACTTGAAGGGAGAAAATGGCAAGTATTAACGTATTAATGACTATATTTTTTTCTTTTTCCCGTTCATCTTTTTTCCTCCACTTATTCTCGTTAACTAACTCCTCTAATTTCGAGGTCATGGGTCAGAACTCAAATAACGGTGTTTGAAAACTCCTGGTGCCAAAATATCTCCTTAGTCATAAAATGGTCTGCTTTACTGTGATAATTATATTTCGTATACTTCCGTGAGTTTTGCGAATATAATCATGCAGAAAAATACAGTTGAATTTGAATTTTGTAGCAAACGTGTAGAAAATTGGAAAGAAATAACTGGCGAATGTAATGAAACAGTTATATTCAATAAAATGAAGCGAATGATTAGAGGGATTGTGGGACGGACGTTTTCAACCTATTCTCAAACTTTCAATGAATATGACGTATTGCTTGCTTAAATGAAGCGTGGATATTGAATGTGTACTCCAAGTAAGCCACTTTTGGTAAGTAGAACTGGTTCTGGGGGATGAACTGAACGCTGAATTTCATGGAAAATTGAACTTGAATCAAAATCAAATCTAACAATATGCTATAAGTCTTTCCCGCTAGTTCTCTGAAGGAAATTCACAGTATCCACATTCAAACCTTTCTCAATCCACAATCGCTTCTCATTGCTTTCATTACTTGATAATGATTGCTGAATTACTTAACTGCATATATGTAATACCACAATCATGCTTGTTGTTTACTAACTATCTGACCATAAAGGATATTTGATGAGAATATGAACTGATGAACTAACAAATGGTAATGATATATAAACCAGATTCTCGTGATAATGATATGATAGATAATATTATCTGGGAAAAAAGGATAATATGATATATTTCAAGTGAAACTATTTTAGGTTTCCTGTTCACATCATATATTCTTTGTGATTATATTGCATAATCAAATTAAGAATGGAAGAATGCCTTGTCAAACTTTAATAATAATAGTTTAATAATTAATAATAATAATAATAATAATAATAATAATAATAATAATAATAATAATAATAATAATAATAATAATAATAATAATAATAATAATAATAATAATAATAATAATAATAATAATAATAATAATAATAATAATAATAATAATAATAATAATAATAATAATAATAATAATAATAATAATAATAATAATAATAATAATA